TCTTAGAAACCAGGATGGTGAGGCTTCAATTCATCTCTCAAACTTCAGACCTGTTATCAAGAGAGACCAGTGCCTGAAGAAGGACATCATACTTGGTAAAGTGGAGGAGGGTCAGCAACAAAGAGGAAGACCCCCAATGATATGGATTGACATAGTGGCAGCAGCAGTGGGCTTGAACAGAGCAACAATTATAAGGATGATGTAGGACCATGCAGTGTTTCATTCTGTGATGCATAGGGTCACTATAAGCCAGACTCAACTTGATGACACATAACACAACAACAGCAGGTGTGTTACTAGAATTGACACACAGATAGTTCTATATCACAACAGATTGTACTCAAGGAAACTACTTTCATATATATGTTTCAAATGAGGTGTCCACATCTTAACTTCATCGCTTGATTGTCCGGCTTCAATTTCGTCTCCACAGAGATTTTGCTTATTCATCAACTGCTGGTGGACGACCAAGTGCTACAAAAGTAATGGTGGTCGTAACCGATGGTGAATCACACGATGGTTCAATGTTGAAAGCGGTGATTGATCAGTGCAACAATGACAATATACTGAGATTTGGCATAGCCGTAAGTGACTTCCCTTTTTTCTTGCCTTTTGGTTCCTTAATAGCATCACTCCCCAAGGCTACACTTTCTCATTGACGTCTCATAGTTTCATAGAAAAGAAGGTTGTTAACCTGTCCCTGCTTCTTGCTGATTTCAGTCTTATAAAGGGAATGGCGACATAAACATTACTTGATTTATTTCCTCTAGAGAGCTGATTGTGTTCAGAAATAGACTAGAAATTGTGACTAGGGGTATTGGGAGACAGTAGTAGTGACCTTATTTTCCTCTTCCTCCATTTTCAAGGTTCTTGGATACTTAAACAGAAACGCCCTTGATACCAAGAATTTAATAAAAGAAATAAAAGCAATTACCAGTGTTCCAACAGAAAGATACTTTTTCAATGTGTCTGATGAGAAAGCTCTACTAGAAAAGGCTGGGACTCTAGGAGAACAAATTTTCAGCATTGAAGGTAAAAAATATATTTTTTTTTCTTTTGAGAATTTTTCTTCTAAAAACTTTCCTGGAGAATTATTTTTATTTTATAATTGCATACGTGTTCTATTAATGTTAACTTGTATGCTATACACATATATAAAGAGGTTCTGATGTGACACTGTAGGATAAGCAATGGACTGCTAACCACTTTTCAAAATCCCTTTACAGGGTCATTATGAATCATAACTGACTCAAGGGAACTTAACAACATCAGTACAATCAAACGAAATATATATAAAACCACCTTCAAATAAATAAGAAAACTGGACAGGGATCAAAATGCAAATGACTAGGAGACATAAAAGATTCTCAATTTCTGTAGTCATTGAAAAATGAAAGATTTATATCGTATTTTTGCAATATCATGTTTTTGCCTAAAAGACAGGAAAGATTTTTAATGTCCTGGTGGTGCTGTGAGTTAAGCATTGGGCATCTAACTATATATAAAGTCTGTGGTTCAAATCCACAAGCTGCTCCACAGGAGAAAGATGAGGCTGTCTGATCCCATACAGAAACACTGTAGGGGGTCATTATGAGTCAGAATCAAGTCAATGGCAGGGTTTGTTTTCTGTTTTGAATCTTAGAAAGAGTATGTGACAACAAAGAGCCTCAAGCAGTGCTATCACCTTTTTACAGGACAACTTAGTAGCATTTATAATAATTGAAAATAGACTTACCTTTACCATGCTATGTTACAAGGAGCTCTGGTAGCATAGGGGTTATGAATTGGGCTGCTAACCTCAAGGTCGGCAGTTCAAAACTACCAGCTGTACCGTGGGAGAAAGATGAGGCTTTCTGCTCCCATAAAGATTTATAGCATTGGAAACCCTTTGCAGGATCCCTATGAGTCAGAACCAACTCCACTGCACTTAACAACAACATGCTGTGTTAGTTGTTACATAGTAACTGAAATTTTTTTATTTGTTGCCAATGAGCATGTGGTGGTAGTTATGTGCTGTGGAGTCGGTTCCGACTCATAGTGACCCTGTTCAGGGTTTCCTAGGCTGTAAATCTTTACGGGAGCAGAAAGCCTCATCTTTCTCCTGCGAGACAGCTGGTAGTTTCGAACTGCTGACCTTAAGGTTTGCAGCCCGATTCGTAGCCACTACGCTACAAGAGCTCCTTAATGAGCATGTGGGCTTTTAAAATCAGGACAATCATAGCAAAGAATTTGGATAATTAATTCTTTGAAGAAACATTTTATTTATCAGACTTACAATAATGTATGTATATGGGCTGGGAAGGCCTATTCAGTGCAGAAACAACCATCATATTTTCTGGAGTTCCTTTTTGTAGAACTGTAATGCATGACCCTAAATCCTAGTTTCTAATGGTTAATGCAGAGTCCTATTTTATAGGACTTGACTTAACCACAAGGTCAGCAGTTCAAATCCACCAGACACTCCTTGGAATCCCTATCCCGGGTTGCTATGAGTCAGAACTATTTTGATGGCATGTAACAACAGCAATGGTCATCCTAAATAACTTATAACAATAAAAAGCACCTACTATGTGTCAGGTACTGCTTCAGAGATTAAATAATTTAACTAGAAGTAGTATCCATGCCTATAGTCAAATCTTGATATCCTGTTTATCCACTGAATATTCCATGAATTTTCATTGCTCCTTTAACATTCCAGAGTACTTCTAGATAGTTTAAATCATCATCAAACTTGAATGTCTGCTTACACCATTGTTGTGCAGTCAATTCTGACTCATAGCAACCTTACAGCACAGAGTCCAACTGCCCCATAGGGCTTCTAAGGCTGTAATCTTTATGGAAGCAAACTGTGTCTTCTTTCTCCATTCAAATCACTGACCTTTCAGTTAGCAGCCTAACACGTAATGTATACTTGTAGTTAAGTGCTGTTGAGTCATTCGGACCCAT